ATATAGAAGGTAACACGAAATACGACAAGAAACGGCCTGCGTATATGCACTTGACCACAAGAAAATCAAAAGTTGAACAAAAGTTTTTAAAACTATCCTTCTCAAAACGTGAGACGAGAGTAGCGAATGTTTCTCAACCTACACTTCATTTTTTCGATTTTAAAACTCTTGCATACCTTGAGAGAAAATTACTGAAGCATACCCAACATGTTTCACAACTTCAGCTTTCTCACTAATGGTGAGCTGCGAGGACACATAACACCTGCCCTATGCTGGTGTGGCGGGTATAAGTAAAACGAAGAGTAGCAGCCGCCAGACATTCACTCTGAGACGATGTAAGAGAGGGAAAATCTAACTGTTCCTGTCGTGCTCATTCAATTTTTACATTCCCCCATTCACAGGCTAACAATTGAGTAGCTGGCAAACCCATGAGTAGTAATCGTACGGGGTGTCTTCCCTGGTATGATATGGCTAACTTCCGCAAATATACTCAGTCCGTAAGGGCCTGGGAAACTATACGTGGTTACCCACATGCGTACCAAAAACAGTATTAGGAATTGGCTTAGGCGAAAAAACATCTGCAAAATGCCGACTTAGAGACTAGCGAAGAACCCTCTCTCTCGACACATGCGAGTACAGAGGCATCGACGGGTAGAATTCCTCGTACACACGCTCTTGACCAGAAGCATCGATTCGAACGATCCTCCCCAACTCTGATCGCACACTTGCAACTGAGGATGTGTAGCCCAACAACAACTCAAGGAATCTTCGTTGCCTGCGCGCCATCATCAAACTACGAAGAATAGAGCTACAAATGCTTTGTATGGACCTGAAAATGTATCATCGGTTTGGGGGAAGATCCTGCGATCAACAACTGCGAGGAGGAAAACGACCTTTTGTCGAACTTCTCCACGGTAAACCAGGAAAAACAGACAGCGTACGAGTGGACGTTTTGTTGTGTGATAATGCGTGAGACAGAGTGGGTTATGGTCAATGGAGTACGCGGCCAAACAGTATGGAAAAGTGGACAAGCGTCACAGGCCGCAGTCCTATAAAGAGCTAGTTTGATCAGGCAGAGGGTTTCAAATTCCATGTAACTGTGAATAGAGATCTAGGTATATCGATAAGTTTGGAATGCTATTTACAAATTTAGAAATTAATACTGCTAAATCAGTCAACCAAAAAAGTTGTGAGGGCTCATAGTTTGCTTCAAAGCATTGAGAAATAGTGCCGAGAAATGCGCAGTGGCGCAGATCGGCCATAAGGGTCGCCGCGGCGCAGTGGCAGTGCTCTCTCCCTTCAGGGCAGGAAGCGAGGTGGATTTGCTTCCAGCCGCCGTGACAGTTTCTGCAAAACGTACTCTCTTTCAGGAAATTGCTCCTATCTAATTCAAATTAACACCATGTTCCGGCTATCATTTACGGTAAATACACGTGTTCAAAAGAATTCGTCTACCTTACTTTTGCTACGCTCTCCTATTTTCCACACTAAAACCCACATGCGCACAAATGAAATCGCCTTGCAACACAGATACGTTAGAAAACTCACAATCGCTGAAACAACCCAAAAAAAATGTAAGGAGACGTGTTCGTATCTATTTAGTACTGAATCGATCGGGTGATTCACACATACACACATACACACATACATACACCCACCCACCCACACCCCTACACCCCCACACGGCAGACACACACACCCAAAGTTCTTCACGTGAATCCTATGAGTTACTTTAATTTTCGAGCTTAATCACAAAACCTACGCAAGAGAAGTCACCCCGAAACAGATAAGCGTGTAGACTCTTTATAGATGAAACACAAAACAAACAACAACCGAATGAAGCATTTATGTTGTTGAAGAATGCGTATATTAGACATGCTGTTTCTCTACAAGCGTGAGCAGCAGCGGATTCTTTCAATTGATTCACGCCCTCTAAATAGAAGCTACTTGATTCTCATGTTAGTCTTTCTCCTTTTGGCCTATGTAGTCATCCCCACAATCACGACAAGCGATGTTATAGATCACCCCAGAGATAACACCTCCCCTGCCAGCCGGAAGACCACATAGGCGATCGTAAGACCAGTTCCGAACCAGGCGTTGCTCTGGCTTAACGGATGGTCTCTTCACACTGGCGAAGAAAATCTCCATACCTGCCCTCTTCAGAGACTTTCTACTGTCAGTGCTAACTCCTCTAGAGATGAATGACAGCACAAAGAGAGCTTTTCTATTAACTAGTACCATGTCTTCGCATCACGCCACCGGGAGAAGGTCGAAGAAGCGCTGTACCCATTTGACTGGGCAACATCGTGTTCATGAGGTCATCGCGAAGGTCGTGGCACAAGTGTGGTAATGTTGCGCGCGCGGAACCCTTAAGGCATTTCGGATACAGGCCACAAATCAAAAAATGAATCGGAGAGAAGAATGCCTTAGAACCAAGCGGGAACTGACCGTCTGCCCACCTATCACCTAGATCAGAACGGAAATTAAACTTTTAACTCTCAGTACCACTGGCGGTCGTGGTAATACGTAGGTGAAGAAATGTACAGCAAGAGCTTCTGACAGCTTTCGACTTGAACAACATCCCGTCTTTCCAGCTGAAGTCAAATACTGGTCTACCCCTCATGCGGGACTGTCGGGATGCAAAGCACCAAATTCGCTGAAAAACTAGTAACACTGCGCTGCTATATAGGAAGCGAAACATGGATGATAGTGCAAATATTACTCTGTCTGCCCGCTATCTGTGGCCTTAACGCCCTTTGCTGCATAATTATTGGCAGAACACTGGAAGGAAGGCAACCATGCGAGTGCGCCCCGTTTCAAAGAGGATCGATCGCGACTACAGTACACAACCGCAAGACCTACCGAAGGGTCGGAAACAAGTTGATTCTACTTTGCAAAGTGTGATCATTGACTCGAAGAGCCCGCTCCGCACTTTCGAATCATCTCATTATTGCATGCTACATAGCGCCTATAGCGTCGTACATCGAGCAGATGAAGTGAATGCTGGTTGAAACCAACGTGCTTGGGATGATAGGCTTTCAACTGAAACCAGCAGAGAAGATGCACGTGAGAAACGGACAATTTCATCATGCTTCCGTTACGGTCAACGGTAGGAACATTTGTGAATGGTTCAGTTATGTGCACTTGTAAAAATGTTGAACGACCTCACCCCAAGGAAACGAGTATAAGAAGCTAAGAACATCGTAGAGCAATGAAGAAAACAAGGAATATCCAGATCCGCTCCCATCTTTCAAATCCTGTTGCTCTTGCAGCCTTAGCTTGCGCATACAATGTCGCTTCTGCGCAGGCCGTATAAGCATGCAGTACCACTATTCAGCGCGTTGTGAAAAGCGCAATTTTCTAAATTTTCCGATACAGCAGACAATCGTGAAGGTAGGAGGGAGTTCGGACTTAAAGCCTACTCGACGGAAGTAGAACAGTGGAGCTGTAGCATTTGTAAGGAAACAAAGTCAGGAATATGTAGGAAGGTCAGATCGACTGGATTCCTAGTGACCTTGAACGAAAACCAGGAAGGCTGCCGACACGAAGACAGAACCTTCCGCGAAAGCTTGATGCTAAAGGAACAGTGGTTTCGAACATTTCCAACGAGAACCATAAACTGGCAATAGGGACGAATGGAGACTTACCGACGTAGGATTTATCAATGAAGAGCGAGAGAACAGATGATTGGGACATTACATTTAACATACTCATGATAATGTCGTGAATACAAGTGGCATATAGCGTCTGAGACCATTACAAGGTACAATAAAGGAGTACTAGCCATATTCCTTCTCAACGACTCTCGAAAGAGCGTCTCGAAGATTCTGGAGCCGGAGCGGATGTTCCGTTATTGCCGTGTTTCATATACTTTTGATCTAACAAAGGGAGTGTCCCACGTAAAAGTGGCCACTTGAAATAGGCCTCAAGGCTAGACGTGTTTTCAGGTGCTGGTCTCGAATCTATGTTCCGAATTTTTAAATGATTCTCACAATACGAATTTTTTAAATGACTATCACAAACAGAACGAGTTATAAAGGTGGTTTATGTAAGTGCTTAGCATATAACACAAAAGACATGGACATGACTGCGCCCCCGGCGGCAGCTTCGGGCAGTGAAAATCGTGACGCCTGGATTGGGTGAGCTGCATGGAGCAGCATGATCTCATGGATTGGGTTTCGAGAAAATAGGATTTTGCAATATGCGTGGCTTCTTCCTCCAGTACTAGAGATCTGTTGTATGCTGACTTCATCGCCCCTAACGACCTTTTTGATGTATGAGGTGATTCGGTCCCTATCCGAACCACTCAACATCCAGATCCACAATTTCTTTGCTCTTTTCTTAAATTCTGCATTCGAAGTGAGATAAATTCGTCACTTCATGAGCAGATGGGACTGTATGACACAAAATGTTTAAACCATTGGCGACCGCGCCTTTTATATTGTCTTTACATTAACTTTTAATTTCCCTTATAACTGTAGTTGGAAATGAATGATTCCTAGACCACAATGCCTCAAGATTCTCTAGAAGCCTGTGAGCGCAGCTGATACTTGAAAACATGAAAAAATTATAAGATCACCTGATAAATAGTATAAATACTACAGAAGCACGATATGGTGTGGCCCGCCGGCGGGCCACGCGAACGTCAGTGGGTTGAACAACGAGGTTGTTCAGAATAAGAAGCGGCGAATCAGGAATTTTGTCACGGTCGTTACTTTACAATTACTTACTAGACTAGAACTGAATTGTGTAGGCTGTTAGACCTAGGCCTGTATGGGAGCTTAAGAGACCAGCAGCATGCGGTAGCAGAAGAGAAATCTGATAATTCTAGTCTAGTCTAATTCGATTCCCCTTCCCGGGATCGCTCCAGCGGGTTCTTATCGTAGCAATGTTGAGAAAAGTGGAATGATGCAGAATATTTCTACAGCAGTCCAGAATCATAAGCTTTTGGCCTATGTAGCCAACAGCAAAAAGGCAATGCATAACTTTGAAAGAGTGAATGGCAGCAGAGACTGACAACACGGCCCCTTCAAATCTGCCTCTCAAGGCCACTAATCACAAAGTGTGCTTTTTATTCGAAGATTTCAGTGTTGCGCAAGCGAGAAGACCGTGGCAACAATGTATGACTCAGGTAGGAACCGAATCACTTGAAGCATTGGAAAGATAGCTGAACGGTAAAATCAACACAAGGTTTTCCAGTTTTCGACAAAAAGGCACGCCTTATGCGAAAATAGCTTTCCCTACGAAATGCGATCCATGATGTCATATCATGAAGCGTCACTACTCCAAAGAATCACTGTTAGTGCAGCCCGTTTTTATTCGAAAAGCGGAAGTAGCGATTGGGAATATTTCATCGGTAGTGAAGAAAGCGAGAGAATTCGCCGATTTCGAGAAAAATATGGATCCTAAAAGTAGGGAAAATAGAGGTTGGACGAGATTGTCATGACGGAAATAACATGGAAGGGGTATTCGGACGAGATTCCAGTTATTGCAATTGCACTAAGAGCTGACTACATCAAGCCAGAACTGTACTGAACTGTCTTTCACTGTCGCTGTGGGTCATGACAAGTTGTTTGAAGTTCCTACATGTGTTCCCTTGTGATCGGTGCAGCCTCTACAATGCCGTTGAAACTCGTCCGATGATACACACGGGCCAATCTTTGAGCTTTTACAACTCCCTAAGTAGGTCGTTTTCCGACCTAATAGTGTCAGATATGGTATACGCGGAGGCCTCGAGTTCATCATGTGAGGGGACTCAGAAACCATTTTCACGTGAACTATGCCTTTAAAACGTTTATATGGCACTAGGCTAGAATATGATTCTTGGAACGAACCTTATACACTCTTCTCCAAGCATTTCTATTGTCTTCCAACATCCTCTTCCAGAGAAGATTAGTAACTTGGTGAAAGCCATCATATCTAAAATATTCGTGTGAAGAAACGACAGTGATGTAAGCAGAGCTGAACGAATACATACACCTACTGAAACGTGTAGTTAGCGATCTCCCTCATTTGCGAACCAGTTGGACCCCATGGATCTTCATTGGTAGCTTCGTAGACCAGATTTTCAGCTTCGGTATAATTCATCACAATTGTATGACTTGAACGAGGAATGTATTAACGATTGAAACAGAGTTGAAAAGCCAATGCCTGTGACTATGCTTATTCAGCGTGGTAGCGCGTCTGTGTCAAAAAGCGGAGCGCTACATTAAAGGCACAGTCCAGAACTGAAATGACTTTAGGATTCCTTCCCAGGTGGAACTTGTGACCTACAAAGATAGCACAAGGGAAGCTATCGGGTCCGAAGACGACCCAGGCAGGGCGTAATAAGATTCAGCAACCGGCTCAGGTGACATGCACACCCAAATGTGCGCGAGTTCTCACGACGTCGTGGAGGTAGTAGAGGTTGCACAAGTCGTGGCGAGACGCAGTGCACACAGGCAGCTTACTGCAGTCAGCTGAACGCAGTGGCACGCACATCTGAACAGGCCATCCAAATACCTCTTCCAACTTTGTCGTCACATTCCCGTCCAAATCATGATTTTACTTTCTTCTGAAGCCTTCTTGATACGCATATTTCAGCGATTCCACAGATACTTTTACACTATTCTGGAGTATTCTTTCGAGTATTGGTCTAAACTAGATACCCCAAAATTACCATGAACGTCTTTAAGACTGAAATCTTGAGCCTAAGATTGAATCTAACCCGTGACGCATTGTAGTGCACTGATTATGTGTCACAATGTTGGGAGCATGTTTCGCATCGAATTTCACTGAAGTAGTCGACGCTCGGGTCATCAATCACTATCCTGCTGGTTTACAAGTTGGTTTACGTTCGGCAATGTCTCACCTTGCGGTGAAAGACTCAGAAGTAATGCGTGGATTTTATGAACACTTTTTTCAACTTTTTTCAACTTCTGAATCGCTGTTACACTGCCTATCCACTCTTAGGTACTGTGCACGACTGTTCCAAGAGTGGTTCCGCTCATCACTACATGCCTCGATTTTGACAAATCAATGCAAACGCGGTGTGCGACTCTGCGCCAAGGCATATACTTTTATCCCCTCAAATTTGCGCTGCAGCACAGCACACGTACCTTCAAAGGCCATGCTTAACCGCTGCCTCAATGGCGCACTAATTCACGTGGCAGTTGACAGGGTGCGCATTTAATATCGCATCGCACTCAAAATCGAATTTTTTTCCGTAGGATGCATGAAAGAAACGATCGGATCAGACGTTCGCCTGATTGCTTTCGAGGATTCACTCTTGACTTTTGATGGGACCTCCTTTCAATGAATAACTTGCTTTAGTCTTCTCGGAAATGACTCGATTACAGACGCATGTAGTTAACATCTAATCTCTCTCGTTCTCTGCAAAAGGAAGCCTTGATAGAGTCGAGGTGGAAACAGGGAAAATGCAAGCCTTCCTCTCCAAGTAAACCCCAGTCTAGGGGGTTAAGCTCCGGCAGGAAGCATGCCACACCTCACTCGTAATGAACACAGGGAAATTGGTCTTGCAGCACGTCCGCGCCTTTTTTGCCTTATGCGCTGCCCTGCAAGAAGATCCACGGTTCACCCCATAGTGTATACGCCCTAAGGGAATCATTTATCTTTCAGAACGGTTTTCATGTAGTATTCATGGTTGGTGTTGACTCTATCTGACGAAATTTTCTTTGCTATCAATTTCCTCAGACTTCCTGGTGAGCACACGGTTATTTTGGGTGTTGGAGCCACCTCAACCGTGAATAATCTTCCATCTGAGAAGTAGTATGCAGGTACTGCACGGTTCGCGTTCGGACGAGCAGCGCACAGAATCTCCCTACACGTTCCTGCATGTTCTTAATCGACAGGATGGCGGCTTTGCACACAAGAACGGGTAGCCTCGTGAAGACGTCTTTTGAAGATGTTAAAGACTGTCCCCTTTACCACCTCAAACTCCTCGGCCATCTCCTTCATGCTACGCTTCGAATTTCGATGCATCCTGTTTTTGATGGCAGCGACGAGCTGATGGATCGCGTTAGTCACCACTCTCACTTTCCGAAGGCAGTCATCGAGTGAATCTAACTAAATGGCACGTGACCACTAAGCGAGACAACTTGAGGGCGCGCGCTATCACGGGCGACGCGATCAGGCGCCATACTACGAGAGCACAAATCCACAATGGAAACACGGTGAACAGAAGTCCTAACCAATTTTCTCAAACCGAATGGATTCGTCAGGAGATTCGATAAAGAAGAACTCGGAAAATCGAATTGATCATTTTTTATTTAGTAGTAGGGAAATGTCTACAAAGTCTCACAGTACAAAGGAATGTCGCAAGTGTGGAAAATCGATGCAGCAA